CTACATAACAATGAGACAAAGATTGCTGAAGTATTCACTAAAGACCACTTATATACTATGTCTGAAAAGCCCAATTTGCATGAGCAAGCTTAAAAATGGACAATAATGGAAATAGAAGCGGTTCTACTTACATAACGATGAAACAAAGATGTCTGAAGTATTCAATAAAGACCAGATATATACTATGCCTGAAAAAAGCAACTTGCACAATCAGGCTTAAAAATGCACAAGAATACTAGAAAAGTACTTAGTGAAGGCCATACACAAGCAAATTCACAAATACATAACAACATCCAAAAGCGCAAGCTTTTCAGGAGAATCTCTGGTAAAGTTTGGATTATAGGGTTTTGGGGTATTCCTGGACGAGTAGGAGTCACTTTTTAAGCAAACAGTTCTAAGCAAGAAATGCTTTTTCTCAAGACAAGTATTGCAAATGCTGCTTCTAGATAATTAATCGCATTTACCAGGCAAATATTATCCATGCGAATTGAGCTACCAGAGCACCAAGTAATGGCTGAATAAGGTCTACTACACTTGAGTACAACCAAGAGATGCACTAAACACTAGCGGCTCTACTTACATAATAACGAAACAAATAGTTCTGAAGCACTAGAAAGACCATTTGTATACTATTTCTGAAAAGCACAATTAGCATAAGCACACTTAAAAATGTGTAGTTGTTGCCTCGTGACCGTGAAGGCGAACCAAAAAGCCAAAATACCAAAACCAAAAAACCAAAAATACCAAAAATACCAAAACCAAAAAAACCAAAAAAACCAAAATCAAAAAAAACAAAAATACCAAAAAAACCAATTTTCCGGGACTCTTGGAGAAGCCTCATAGGGATTTCCTCAGAGTCCCGGAAAATTGGTTTTTTTGGTATTTTTGGTTTTTTTGGTTTTGGTTTTTTTGGTTTTTTTGGTTTTGGTTTTTTGTTTTTTTTGGTTTTGGTATTTTTGGTTTTTCTGCTGTCCCGTGTATGCGATTTTAGTTGTATTTTAGTCTACGCCCTAGGAAATACGCTATATTGCACACCGAGTTTGCTTGCAGTGCAGCTGGGTGACTTGAGACAAGGCGAAAAAGGGTAGGTCACTGCGGGGGGGGGGTACCATATATATATATATATATATATATATACCTTTAAGGGAATAAATCGGGTACCTCAGTGCCTCATTCTCTACTAACACTAAGACGAGTGGCCCGTTCAAGGTGAGGAATTTCCGACGCCACGAACTGTAGCCCCCTCTAGAAGCTGTCAAGGGACTAAAGGAGGGACCCTAATAAGGTTTTTTTTTTAGGGGCTCTTTTAGGGGCTACTTAGGTATATAGGGACTCTGACTATACCCTTTGTATTAAAGCTGTCTTTTCTGCTCTGAGGCCGTAAATGTAAGCCAGCAAACCTGCGTTGATGAGTTCCCGAATTTCGGAACCGTAGGTTGCGCCCATGTCATGTATCTCTAGTGGAAGTGGGTTGGGTTGCAAGAAATAGGTAGCTTCCAGTGCATGATTTATAGGGGTCTTGCCCTAAACCCCCAAACCCTAAACCCTAAACCCTATAGGAGACTTAGGCCTCAAGGGGCCCCGACATGCGCGGCAGGCTCTGTATGTGGCGTTCAACGCGGAGCGAGGCAGCCAGCGCTTGTTGGAGGGTTTAGGGTTTAGGGTTTAGGGTTTAGGGTTTGGGGTTTGGGGTTTAGGGTTTAGGGTTTAGGGTTTAGGGTTTGGGGTTTAGGGTTTGGGGTTTAGGGTTTAAAGTGTCTACTGTCGGATGCCTTGTGATTCTTTTCCTTTGTGCAGGAGATGCTCAGAAAGGGTGCCGACAACGTGTCGGGTGTAGGGTTTAGGGTTTAGGGTTTAGGGTTTAGGGTTTAGGGTTTGGGGTTTAGGGTTTAGGGTTTGGGGTTTAGGGTTTAGGGTTTGGGGTTTTAGGGTTTAGGGTTTGGGGTTTAGGGCTTCCTAGGTTTTCAGGCGGGGGCGCGAGATTTCGTCGGGCTGGGCCTTGTTTGGAGATTCCAGGTTGGAGTCCCTAAACCCTAAACCCTAAACCCTAAACCCTGGAGTACTCTTGCGGTCGCAGGCGAAGCACGGAGAAACGAGGAGGTGTTGAGCTGAGAGGCGAAGGAGGAAAGGAAAAGGTTTAGGTTTAGGGTTTAGGGTTTAGGGTTTAGGGTTTAGGGTTTAGGGTTTAGGGTTTAGGGTTTAGGGTTTAGGGTTTAGGGTTTAGGGTTTAGGGTTTAGGGTTTAGGGGGGCTCGAAACAACTACTGCAACAATAGAAACTAGTAAGACTGAGCTTTGGGGACCCTCATGCTGACATAACCTGGCTCCCGTGGGCCTGGAACCGGGTTGCTGTCGACTCCCCGGCCAATTTTAAGGGCTGCGGCCTCACCTCACTAATTTTCAGAGCTTGTAGAGAGCTACATCCTTGGGGGTCACATGAACCGCAAAAGGGTTGATGGATCATATGCATATGCCTTAAAGGGAATTCTAGTAGTATAATTAGGGTTTTTGGCCGAAGATCAAGGACGAGGCGAAGCAAACGCAAGAAGTTAAACATGAAATCAAGCACGCGGCCTTCTGAGCAACTACGATTTGCTTAAGAACCCCTCCCAAACAACATAGATAACAATCCCTTTACCCCTCAAGGACGATGTTTTGTGGGGGGGGTTCTGAAGCAACAAGTAGGTCCTAAACCCTAAACCCTAAACCCTAAACCCTACGGCGAGCGCCACCTCCCAAACTTCAGCTGGCACATGGCGTGCTGGCGCGGCTCCTTTTGGAAACGTATCATCGCTTTTAGGGTTTAGGGTTTAGGGTTTAGGGCTTAGGGTTTAGGGTTTAGGGTTCGTAGCGGAAAGCCTCTTTTGAGGAGGTGGCGGCTGCACTCTTCGATCTCGGGCTGTGGCCATCAAGTACATGGCACGAGCAAATCCAGATGGCCGGAGGGGGTTTGGGGTTCGGGGTTTAGGGTTTTGGTTTTGGGGTTCGGCCGAAGGACTTCTGGGAGATGAACCCTAAACCCTACACCCTAAACCCTAAACCCTAAACCCTAAACCCTAAACCCTAAACCCTAAACCCTAAACCCTAAGATGAGGCCTGGAAGCAGGCGGTGACCTCGTGCAAGCAGCAGGAGAAGGAGAAGGAGCGGGCTCAGTTGAGCGAGCTCAAAAGCGCTGAAGGGCGAGGAGGGGCGTCCTCCTGACACGCAGGTTTCGCACTGCGGGCCGCAACTCGTGTAGCAGGTCGAGTTGGAATGTTTTACATCCCTAAACCCTAAACCCTAAACCCTAAACCCTAAACCCTAAACCCTAAACCCTAAACAACCCCAAACCCCAAACCCCATCTTCTTTCTCTCAGTAGGGTTGCCTCGCAGGGCCTTTCACGTGGGCAGGTAGACTCTGTTCGCACTGAGTGCAATTGCGCCAGCAGGGATTGCAATATAGGGCTCTGAATAATTACTATAATACTACTCCCTTTATAATTATGCTACAAATCCCCCCCCCCCCCCAAAGCCCTATTCGAATTTAAGGCCCCTATATGACATCTGAAACCTGCTGCGAGCGGCATGCTACACACCTCCCACGTGGGTCTGGCCCTGCATGGATGGGGAGAGTTGACAGGCCTTGCAAGGCCCTTCAGTTTCGGACTGGTGCGCCCCTAAACCCTAGACCCTAAATTCTAAACCCGAAACCCTGAACCCTAAATTCTAAACCCTAAACCCTAACCCTACACCCTACAGAGCCTAAACCCATTGGCTGAAATTGATTCAAACGGCCAAGGATCCCACATCCGCTTTTGCCTGACATGGCGAAAAAAGGAGCCTTTTCAATTGGAATAGGGTTTAGGGCTTAAGGTTTAGGGTTTGGGGTTTGGGGTTTAGGGTTCAGGGTTCAGGGTTTTGGGGCTTATCATAGTATATTTATACAGGGGCCACAAGGGAATGCTACTCGTACTGAGTCCGACCCCTACTTGGTGGTTCATGGTACTTAGTAATCCAATTAGAACTTGTACTTATAACCCAATTATACCCCTATTAGGGCACTTTTTGTGGGTTTTAACTACCCCTAAGCCCTAAACCCTAAACAACCCTAAACCCTAAAAACCCTAAACCCTAAACCCTAAACCCTACACTTGTAATGGGTTACTAAGTACCCTGAACCTCCAAGTATGTTACTCATCCGCGGCAGGGTTTCTAGGGCTTTGGGCTGAGGGGTTTAGGGTTTGGGGGTTTAGGGTTTAAGGTTCAGGGTTTAGGTTTTAGGGTTTAGGGGTTTAAATAGGGTTTTGGGTTTAGCCAGTTTTTTGAGCTAAGAGGCTCAATGTTTGTTTTTGGGAAGCTGCTCCGACGTGTTTGAGGAGAGTCCGGAGTGCGGGGATGAGACCCCTAACCCCCCAAAACCCCCAGAACCCTGCGCACGCCTAAAGGCCTTAACACACCCTAAGAGCCAATCATCCCAGAGCCTAAACTCTGCGGAGTACCCTAAACCCGAAGCATTCAAAACCCTAAGTGAAGTGATCTAAAATCGTGTTAACCCTGAACTCCCGATTCAACCCTATGCGTCACACACTTCTGGACCCGGATTGTATCCCATGGAGCCCAATGCCCCTTAGTTAGATGAACTCAGCGCCACACCCCAGACCTTCTAAGCCCCAAACCCCAATACTTGCAGATTATTGCACAGCCCCCACACCCCAAATCCCTCTACACACGCCTACACTTTAAACACATAAACCCATAAACCCATAAACACATAAACCCATAACCCATAAACCCATAAACCCTAAACCCTAGCAAACCCTAAGCCGCCTAAAAACCCTTCAACCTCCAGACCCCTACTTGGAGGTTCATGGTACTTACTAACCACTTAAAACTGGGCTTATAACCCTACTTATAATAGGGATAACCCCTGTAAGGCCATTTAGGGGTATTATAAGTAGGGTTATAAGTACAATCATAATTGGCGAGTAAGTACTATGAACCTTCAAGTAAGCCTTGCTGAGGTACAAGAAGGCTGGCAAGACCATCAAGGAGTCCGGGATTGAGAGGTCTTATGGTGTGGTTTAGGGTTTAGGGTTCGGGGTTTAGGGTTTAGGGTTTAGGGTTTAGGGTTTAGGGGTTCGGGGTTTAGAAGTTTGGGGTTTAGGGTTTGTAAACACTGGGAGGTGCCGGCCCCAGGCTCGGGGCGCCTGTAGGCACATGTGTTTTTTCGGGTTTAGGGACTAAGGTTTAGGGTTTAGGGTTTAGGGTTTCGGGTTTAGGGTCTAGGGTTGGGGGTTTAGGGTCTGGTTTGGGTTTAATGTTTAGGTTTAATGTATTCAGTCTTAGACTAGAAGGATCCTTTCGCAGGATAAGCCCCGAAATCCCAACCCCCTCCCCCCCCCCCCCCCCCCCCTGACTTTAGGCCCTCATACCTGAAGCCCCAAGCCCATAAGCCCTGGATAATTGCCAGAGACAACTCGGATCCCTACAGAACCCACAGGTCCCAAACCCTAAACCCCTAAACCCCCAAACCCAAAACCGAACCCTAAAACCTAAACCCCTAAACCTAAGCGCCAAACTCTGAACCCCAATGCCTAAACCCCTAACCCTAAACCCCTTACCCTGTACCTTAAACCCCAAAACCTAAACCCTAAACCCCCCAACCCTAAACCCTAAACCCCATACCTTATTTTGAACCTAAACCCCTAACCTGAAACCCCAAACCCGAAACCCCAAACCCTAAACCCCAAATCCTAAACCCTAAACCACTAAACCCCGAAACCCGAAACCCCAAACCCTATAACCGTAAACTTTCGTTTAAACCTACACCCTAAACCCCAAACCCTAAACCCCAAACCCTCAACCCCAAAGCCCAAACCCCAAACCCCAAACCCCAAACCCCAAACCCTAAACCCTAAACCCCAAACCCCTGACCCTAACCCTAAACCCTAAGCCCTACTGAAGGAGTTCGGACCCATGATCCTGGCCTCCGGCGGCTTCGGCGCCGACTTCGGAGCGGTAGCTCGTCGCTGCTGCGTAGGGTTTAGGGTTAGGGTTTAGGGTTTAGGGTTTAGGGCTTAGGGCTTAGGGCTTAGGGGTTAGGGTTTAGGGTTTAGGGTTTAGGGTTTAGGGTTTAGGGTTTCGACGTCGGCCTAAAACAAGCGGTTTAGGGTTTGGGGTATAGGGTTCAGGGTTGTGGTTCCGAAGCCCCTGCAACCCCCCAAAAAAGAACCACAAAATCCTGAACCCCTTAAAGCCATGAAACTTAGGGCTTAGGGTTTCGGGTTTAGGGTTTGGGGAAAGCCTCCCCAAACCCTCTGACCCCCCAAACCCTCCTGACACAACCCCCTGAACCTAGGACTCACTAACCCTAAACCCTACACCCCAGACCCTAAACCCTAAACCCTAAACCCTGAACCTAGGACTCACTGCTGGCCACATACCGCCCGGATTTGCTCCACCTGCCCACCACCAACGGCGAGCACCACTGGCCCAACGTCTTTCGGGTTTAGGGTTGAGGGTTTAGGGTTTAGGGTTTAGGGTTTAGGGTTAGGGTTTAGGGTGTAGAGTTATAAGGGTTTGCGGCTCGGGGGCGAAATTCAGGACTTTAGGACTTTAGGAGTTTGGAGTTTAGGATTTAGGGTCTAGGGATTAGGGTTAAAGATAGAAGGTGACTATTGACATGTTCCTTCATGAGTGAGGGACTGCGTGGGTTGAGGGAGTAGAGGGTACTACTGAACCGTGAACCCTAAACCCTACCTTAAGAACCCAAAGCCTGCCTCTTCGTAGGTTTTCCTACGAATCCTGCACTTAAGGGGTTTGATAGCAAGAGCTTCCCAAAAAAGCAGGCTTTGGGTGCTGAAGGTAAACCCAAACAGGGTTCCCAGCGTGGGAAATGCCGCACCTAGAGTGGCACAAGTCAGGACTAAACTTTAACGCAAAACAAGTCCCGACCCCCCCCCCCCCCAAGTTCCCCTTCAAATAACTTAGTTATCCCCAAAAAGCCCTAATCATGGGGGGCAACCTAGGGGGGCATAGTCTAGAGGAGGGTAGCAGGGGCACCCATGAAAGGCATGAAAAAAGCTTGTCGTCCAAACACAGCGATTCTCGGCAATATGGTTTCAGCAGCCACGTCTTTTTTTAAACTTAGCAGCTGAGTAGGTAACCTTTAACCTTTGGGAGTATATACAAGCCAAAGTGGGCTGTTGGTTGAGCACGCCGGAGCAGAAAAAGCAGCCAAACCAAAACTGTAAGCCCCAAATCCTAAGCCCTAAACCCTAAGCCCTAAACCATAAGCCCTAAACCCTAAACCCTAAACCCTAAACCCTAAACCCTAAACCCTAAACCCTAAACCCTAAACCCTAAACCCTAAACCCTAAACCCTAAACCCTAAACCCTAAGGAAGGCCAAACAGCCGCGATGAATAGCCTAGGATGCCCAGTAGTGCCCTTATTCCCTTTTTTGGGGGTGAGGTTCCCTTATAAGCCCCTTTAAGCAAAAAAGGGTACCCTTTTTAATCAAACCCTAAACCCTAAACCCTAAACCCTAAACCCTGGTTACTGAGCATCCTAGTAGCCCCAAAGCAAGCACACAGTCGAGGCACTGCACCGGCGATGCCATCAAGATGGGCGAGGCCTGATCCCTAAACCCTAAACCCTAAACCCTAAACCCTAAACCCTAAACCCTAAAGCCTAAAGCCTAAAGCCCTAAACCCTAAAACCCTAAACCCTAAAGCCCTAAACCCTAAACCCTAAAGCCCTAAACCCTAAAGCCCTAAACCCTAAAGCCCGAAAGCCTAAGCTCTGAGGGTCCATAGCTCTCTGTTCAGGGTTCATGGGGTAGTTCGGGGCTATGCAACCTGCACCAGACAGATAGCATGGGCAGCGCCAGTCCTACAGACCAGCAAGAAGCCCTCAAGAATACTAAGCCCTAAGCCCGAAACTCTTACACCCTAAACCCTGGTCCCTAAACCCTACACACTTAAACCCCAAAGTTTATGGTCTTGAAGTCTTGGTGTGAGTTCTTGCCAAGAGAACCTGAGCGAAGAAAAGGGAGAGCTCCAGGCTTATAGTAAGGGTTTAGGGTTGTAGGGTTTCGGGTTTAGGGTTTAGGGCTTTGGGTTCGGGACCATGACAAGCACACTATGCAGGGGCCACTCCATTTGCAAGTGTTTAGGGCTTCGGGTCCCAGGGCTTAGGGCCCCCCAATGACTTCTTCTAAGGGTAGTTACACTGGGACCGGGAGTAGGCCCTTTTTTCCTTTTTTTAGGGTTGGGGTTCCCATATAATCCCCTTAAAGCCAAAAAGGGTACCCTTTTGATTCCTAGGCTACTCCCGGATCTAGTACATGTCGCCTTTAATATGGTCCCGTGCTTTCCTTAAAGCATTCTGATGAATGGGCCCTTGGGTTGTGCAGGGTAGAAGGGGCCCCGTTTGAGGGCCCATCTTGAGGGTTTAGGGTTTAGGGTTTGGGGTTTAGGGTTTAGGGTTTAGGGTTTAGGGTTTAGGGTTTGGGGTTTAGGGTTTAGGGTGGGACCATGTAACTCCCCCTGAGAACTTGTTTGCGTGGCGAGTAGAGGCAATTGGTGCCACCACCATCGACCTTGAGTGGGTCCAGGTGCGAGACTCCATGTAGGGTTTCGCGGTTTAGGGCTTTAGGGTTTAGGGTTAGGGTTGGGTTTAGGGTTTACTGTTTGCTGTTTCGGGTTTGCGTGCATCCATAGCCAAAGCCCTAGCTACAGCCAACACCGATTGCACTCTGGGCTTTCAGTTCTCGATTCCAAGGGTGTGAACGACCAAAAGGTACCTTGTGAATGATGGGCCGAACAGACCTTGGGGACTAAATGAACCCTAAAAGGGTTTATGGTTCATATACCTGACTAGGACTTATAGTAGTCGGGGTACATGACCCCCAATTTTGGGGTTCATTTCGTCCCCAAGGGAGGTTGTCCTTCCGTCGTCTTTTTCCCTCTTTGTTCACGCGCTACAGAAATATTCTTCTGAGTGTGCAAGGAACGCGCGACCCGACAAGAATATTTCTGTGCGCGTGAGTGAACAAAGGGCGGGAAAGGATGGAGTGACTGACCAAAAGACGCGTTAACAGTAGTATTATTTTTGGCAGGCCACCCCAATGTACATCCTGTTGCATGAGGGTGTTCGTTTTACTATTGTCCCATGCATACCAAACTCTCGACCTACTATGTACCCTAAACCCTAAACCCTAAACCCTAAACCCTAAACCCTAAACCCTAAACCCTAAACCCTAAACCCTAAACCTACTAGGGACAACTCAACTCAGAAACTCCCATAGACCCGATTTCTGAAACCTCCAAAGCCTTCAACCGCAGCAGCACTCCTTGGACCTCCAAAGCCCTCAACCAAAACAGCAAATCTAGGGGGGGGGGGGGGGGGGTGGGGGGGGGGGTAACCCTAAACCCTAACCCTAAACCCTAAAACCCTAAACCCTACAACCTCCACCCTAAACCCTAAACCCTAAACCCTAAACCCTAAACCCTAAACCCTAAACCCTAAACCCTAAACCCTAAACCCTAAACCCTAAACCCTAACCCTCAACCCTAAACCCGAAACCCAGGTGCACCCGACTGGCCTCGTCAAGCCGGACGACCCCGATGCCAAGGCCCTAAACCCTAAACCCTAACAACCCTAAAAACCCTAAAGACCCTAAACCCTAAAAACCCAAATCCCTGTAAACCCTAAACCCTAAAGGCTGAACCCTAAACCCCAAACCCTAAACCCTAAACCCTAAACCCTAAACCCTAAACCCTAAACCCTAAACCCTAATTAAACCCTAAACCCTAAACCCTAAACCCGCCCACCACCCCTCTCCTTCTGTGGGTGAGTGGGCGCAGTCGAGCGTTCAGCGAGACCATGGCAGGCTCTGCTGAGCTGCAGAGCCTGCAGCCGCACCCCTGAGGGGTCGCCAAGCTGAGGGGTCGCCTACCTTCAAGGGGAAAGTTCGGCTTCTCCCGGACCATTTCTGTTTTTGGGCTTCGGGCCAGTCCCAGACCAATTTTGCTTCTCCCGAACCATTTCTGGGCTCTTCCCGGACAGTTTCTGAGCCTTTTTCGGGCTCCTCCTGGACAGTTTCTGCGCCTTTCGTGGGCTCCCTTTCTGAGCCTTTTTGGGCTCCTCCCGGACAGTTTCTGCGCCTTTTTTTGAGCTCCTCCAGGACCCTTTTCTGCACCTTTTAGGGCTCCTCCCGGACAGTTTCTGAGCCTTTTTGGGCTTCTGGGCTTTTCCCAGACCATTTCAGAATTTTTTTGGGCTTCACCCGACCATTTCTGAGCTTCGGGCTGCCCCCCCAATTTCTGAGCTTATTTGGGCTTCTCCCGACCAACTTTTTTTGGGATTTCCGGGATTCTGGGCTGCCCCCAGACCATTTCTGAGTTTCTTTGAGACCATTTCTGAGCCTTTAACCCGGAAACTTCTGACTATGTTGCGCAAAGCTTTGAAAAAAAAACCCGCTCGACAATCCGACATAGAGAAAAAAGAAAACAATGAGAAGGCCCTCCGGCCGAAGACTCCCCCAACGCAAAACCTAAATTTTTTTGGCTGCAGTTTCTTTACATGTCCTGAACACAAGCTTCTGGGCATGTTTTTCATAAGGCCTCATTGCATAACCACACTTTCGCCATGTAGCTAATCCGACGCAGAAAAATGTTGAATGGCTGGCTGGTTTTGGCTGGCTCCGGCTTGGTTTTGCCGTGAGTTGTGATTGGGTGGCCTTGGGGTGGGCATGTCTTCAAACTATCGCGTCCAGCTGACCGGTGCTACACCCTAAACCCTAAACCCTAAACCCTAAACCCTAAACCCTAAACCCTAAACCCTAAACCCTAAACCCTAAACCCTAAACCCTAAACCCTAAACCCTAAACCCTAAACCCTAAACCCTAAACCCTAAACCTAAACTAAACCCTAAACCCAACCCCCCCCCCCCCCCCCCCATCCGCACTTTCGGCTGCTGCAGGCGCCTTCTTGAAAACTGGGTTTAGGGTTACCGTTGACCGCTGCCCTCAACCCTAGAAACTAAACCCCGACCCTAGACCTTGATCCCTAAACCCCGAACCCTAACAAACCCCCTCATGGGATTCAGGGTTTAGGGCTAAACCCTAAACCCTAAACCTTAAACCTTAAACCCTAAACCCTAAACCGTAAACCGTGGGAAGGTTCTCACACTACGGTTCCCTGTTTTGGGGTTCCTACCCGGGAAAAAGGGGTTGGGACGTTCCCCCTTATACTGACAGCTTAATAAGGATTAGAACCCTAGACCCCAAGCCCTGACCTGACCCCCAAACCCTGAAGCCTATACCTTATAAGGCCCTAAAGCCTGACCCTGAAATCTGGTGATCTTTGAGATAAATCCAAGGCTCAAGGAACTCGCAAAGCCTTAAGCTTTGTGGCTCTAAGGACGTGCCAGAATGTGGTTCCCTACTCCGGGACTTTGGAAGGGTTTTGGCCCTCGCTTCGCGCCCCCGCAATGCCCAGATAAAGCCCGGCACAAGCCAAGCCACAACCCAAGCTCGTAAGACCCTAAACCCTAAACCCTAAACCCTAAGGACTAAACCCTAAGCCCAAAACCCCTTGCGCACAGTGCTCAGTGACATCATCTCCAAACTTGAAAAACCATTACCTCATGTAGTGACATGGAACGTCAGCGAAACTCACTGCTTACGGGGCAGATTGACTGCAAGCCCATGTCAAGTCGTCAACCCTAAACCCCAAACCCCAAACCCTAAACCCTAAACCCTGGGGCCCATGTAACCTGAAGATAACCCCCAAACCCTCAACCCTAGGACGTAAAGAGCACCTTCTTGGGCTCCAAGTTCATTGAAAAGGAAGCACTTTACAGCCCAAGTATGGGGGGCCCCTAAACCCTCGAGGGTTCAGAGTTTAGGGTTTAGGGCTAGGGTTTAGGGTCTCTAAACCCTAAACCCTAAACCCTAAACCCTAAATGCAAAATCAGTGCCTGGTGGGCAGGTCAAGTTCCTGGCTGCTGAGGCCCTGCGAGGCAATCTCTCCGCCTTTGTGGTTTCATCATGGGGTTCGGGTTGGCCCTAAACCCTAAACCCTAAACCCTAAACCCGAAGCCTAAGCAGGACTTTGGGGTTGAGCGTTTAGGGTTGGGGGTTGAGGGTTTTGGGGATGTTCGGTTCGGTTTTGGCATGCTGCTTGACTGAGGAAGTTCGGGCAGCCACATAGGTCAAGGTTCAAGGCTGTTATCGGCCGAGGGTTTGAAAGAAGTAGCCCCAAACCTCCTGCATTTGTTGGGGTTTGGGGCTTCGCAACGCACAGCAAAAGCTGTGCACAAATGCAAGCTCAACGAAAAAAACAGCCTTCCTCCAAAACCCGTAAGACAGTAAACCCGCAAACCCGTAAACCCGTAAACCCTAAACTTCACGGCTTCTCCCTCCTGCATCCAAGAACCCAAACATCCAAAAATGAATTTGCAGAAAGGATTGCGTTTGGGTGTTCAATGTTTAAGGATGATGATGATGATGGTGGTGGTGGTGATGATGATGGTGGGTGTGACAGTGTTCATCCAGTAAGTTTACACAAAATACATACAATGACATCAATCATCGCATGTATCTGTGTGCATGAGTTAAAAGATGATGTGGTTGGTATGTTCACATGGTATAGCATAATAAAATACAACATACGTAGAATATTTATTTATTGTATTCATATGAGAGACATATTTTCGGGAAATGCAGCTTTTGGAAAGCAGGCGTGGGCGGAATTGTCCTCGATGCCAATGGCGACCGATTCTGCAACGAGCTGGGCCGTCGCGACTACGTCACGGGAGAGATGTGGAGACCTGTTTTGACTTTGTGGTGTATAAAGCTGGGTTTTTTGAGGGTTCAGCATTTCCTGGTGCAGTTGAAGCCCTTAGCTCAATATGGCGATGTCAAGATTGATCCCAAGATCCCAAATCCTTACGTGTTGTGGGGTTTAGGGTTTAGAGGACTGTTAGAAAAAAGGGGGAACATCCTAACCTAAACAAAAATCTCAACCAAAAGAAGCTCATCGGTTCCCCTCTCATTGGTACCCAGTGGCGTAGGAGGGTTCGGGGGGGAGTTAGGGTTTAGGGTTTAGGGTTTAGGGTTTAGGGTTTAGGGTTTAGGGTTTAGGGTTTAGGGTTTAGGGTTTAGGGTTTAGGGTTTAGGGTTTAGGGAGTGGACGGGCTCAGCCTTGTCTTCGTCCCGCACTTCCCGTAGGGCGATGTATAGGGGTCGGAATCATTACTATATAGTAATGTTCCTGCACGGTCACTATATAGATATACTATAAAACTCCAAAACTTGATTCGAATTATTAACGCCCCTACAGTAGCCCAGTACCAAGTAGTTCTCTTGTTTCTCCTTCTGTGTTCGTGCCGGCCTCCGAAGTAGGACTGGCAAGTAAGCGTTCAGGCACGATAGGGTTTAGGGTTTAGGGTTTAGGGTTTAGGGTTTAGGGTTTAGGGTTTAGGGTTTAGGGTTTAGGGTTTAGGGTTTAGGGTTTAGGGACTCGGAATCAAGTACACAAGCTTCACACCCGGACCTTAAACTCTCAAGCCCCGACCGCCCAGGAAGAACAAGCCTCCCTTCCGCCTGTGCCTGAACAAGGCTGGATCACATGCTTCTCCGTCTGCTAGTGCCGTTTGGGGTTTAGGGTTTAGGGTTTAGGGTTTAGGGTTTAGGCTTTAGACTTCGCCGCCTGCTAGCGCGAGTTTCTCACAGGACTCTACCTGGGACCCCTAAGGTTGGACCCGTGGGTTTGGGGGGGCCCTTTTGTTACAGATCCTGTAGCTACAAAGGGACCATAAGGGAATCTTATTGGTTTAGGGTTTAGGGTTTAGGGTTTAGGGTTTAGGGTTTAGGGTTTAGGGACCATAAGGGAATCTTATTGGTAATTCTTCCGACCCAGATATGAAGTTCGCCAATCATGCCGCTGTGGTGTGCCACCAAGTTCGGGAGGGTACGAGCGCATGTGTTTAGGGTTTAGGGTTTAGGGTTTAGGGTTTAGGGTTAGGGTTTAGGGTTTAGGGTTCCCTTGCTCTGGGTTTTCTTTTTCCTCAGTGGCACTGAGCGCCTGGTTTCAGAACGCTCTTTGTCCTACATCCTAAACCCTAAACCCTAAACCCTGCCCTAAACCCTAAACCCTAAGCCCTAAACCCTAAACCCTAAACCTAAACCCCAAACACCCTTTCGCTGGGGAGGTGGCGGCCTCTTTGTAAGAAATCCCATCATCAGCATCAGGGGGCTTAAGTTTGAAGCACGAAGCTCCAAAGCCCCAGCTGTCACGCAGTAAGGGGGAGATCTGTAAGGTTTAGGGTTTAGGGTTTAGGACTTGGGGCTTAGGGTTTAGGGTTTTAGGGTTTAGGGTTTAGGGTTTAGGGTTTAGGGTTTAGGGTTTAGGGTTTAGGGTTTAGGGTTTAGCAAGTGGCTGAGCACCATCCAGGCCGCCGCCGATGAGATCATCTGGCACGCCAAGCACTACACCGGCCGTGGCGACACTCGGTAGGCTTAGGGTTTAGGGTTTAAGGTTTAGGGTTTAGGGTTTAGGGTTTAGTGTTTAGGGTTTAGGGTTTAGGGCCCCTGTTCCATACCCCCGAAACCCGAGCAGAAAGTTGCGAGTAACCTCAATAGCCTGAGACTTGTAGGTAAATAGAGTCGTAGTTTTCCGTAAGGACGTCAGGTCGAGGGTTTGAGTTTTAGGGGGAGAATCCTCAAGTCGTGGTAGGAACTGACTAACCCTAAACCCTAAACCCTAAACCCTAAACCCTTGTCATGGTCAGGAGAGAAATCCTCAGCTCGGGGTAGGAACTGACCTGAAACCTTAATCTCCTGAATCGAGAAAACCCTATAAACCGTATAAACCGTTTAGACCCTAAACCTTAGCCTCTCAGCCCAGGTCATGAAGTTCTACCCCTCCGGTGAGGACCTGGCAAAGGACTTCCTCTCCGGGAGGGTTTAGGGTTTAGGGTTTAGGGTTTAGGGTTTAGGGTTTAGGGTTTAGGGTTTAGGGTTTAGGGTTTAGGGTTTAGGGTTTAGGTTTGTTGGGTTGTTCAAGGGTTTAGGGGCCCTCAGGCCTAAAGCCCTCCAAGAAAAAAGGCACCAAAACCCTCAAACCCCCACAAGCCCTAAACCCTAAGACCTTGTTGGCAAGTGGGGGTCAAGGTGTAGGGGTTTAAGGTTTAGGAATTTAGGGATTCAGTGATGGAGGGGTTTGGAGATGTAGGCATGTAGGATGTCCACAGCCCCTTCTTTAGAACCCTAACCCAATATTTTGGTATTTAGGGTATGAGGGTTGATGGTTTAGGTTTTAGCTAGGGTTACCCTAAACCCTAACCCCTTTTTTCTGCACTTTACCCAGCGTTTAGGGTTTGAGGGTTTACCGTTAATGGATTAGGGTTACCCCAAACCCTAAGCCCTAAACCCTAAACCCTAACCCTAAACCCTAAACCCTAAACCCTAAACCCTAAACCCTAAACCCTAAACCCTAAACCCTAAACCTAAACCCCCCCAAACACGCGGAGGACATGGGCGTGCCTCTCCAGAAGCTCGTGGATGCCCACCAGAAGCACTTCGAGGTGCACCAGGGCCTGGTGTTGCGTTTTTTTTTGTAGGGCTTAGGGTTTAGGGTTCAGGGTTTAGGGTGTAGGGTTTAGGGTGTAGGGTTTAGGGTTTAGGGTTTAGGTCTTGGGCCTTAGGGCCTAGGGTTGTGGGTTTAGGGTTTAGGGTTTTGGATTTAGGGTTTCGGTTTTAGGGTTTAGGGCTAAAGTTTTTGGGTGTAGGGGTTTAGGGTTTAGGGTTTGAGATTTAGGGTCTTGGGTGGTAGGGGTTTAGGGGTTAGGGTATTCTCTAAACCGGCAGCGCGAAACTTTGGAACCCTCAGCCAAAAGCCCTCAACCACTTCACCCCACACCTCCAAAGCCCCCAGCCTTTGAATTTGGCTCCTACCCAGACCCTAGAGCCTAAACCCTTACAAGCCACCAATGGGCTTAGGTTAGGGTTTAGTCCCTAAGGCTTAGGGTTTAGGGTTTAGGGTTTAGGGTTAGGGTTTAGGGTTTAGGGTTTAGGGTTTAGGGTTTAGGGTTTAGGGTTTAGGGTTTAGGGTTTAGTTTTTAGGGTTTAGGGTTTAGGGTTTAGGGTTTAGGGTTTAGGGTTTAGGGTTTAGGGTTTAGGGTTTACAGATGGTGAAAGCTCAGTGTTTTTTGGGGGGGGCAAGCACGCGCGCAGGCGGCGAAGAAGCAGGAGAAGGACCAAAGTGGGCTGCGCAGGGCTGTAGTGAATGCAGTTTAGGGTTAATTGAGGTTAGGGTTTAGGGTTTAGGGTTTAGGGTTTAGGGTTTAGGGTTTAGGGTTTAGGGTTTAGGGTACAGGGAAGTGATCCCTGGCAGGGATACAGAGGGGATTTTCTCCAGCTCCCTGATTCAGAACCCCCGGCAAGTTGTTGGCGTCGATTCGGCTGCTGACCAAAACGGGGCTTTACGTCTTCCCTCCCTAAACCCTGAACCCAAACCCTAAGATTGAGGCTCGTATACCCTATACACCTGTTAATCCTATTATGGCATATGACCCAGAAACCCTTCTAGGGTGCATTTGGTCTAGAGACCCGAAACCCCCGGAACCCGGTTTAGGGTTTAGGGTTAGGGTTTAGGATTTAGGTAGGGTTGAGGGTTTAGGTTTAGGGTTCAGGTTTCGGGTTTAGGGTTTAGGTATAGGGTTTAGGGTTTAGGGCCAGTGAAGCCCTGAACCTTGAACTCAGATTTGTTGAGCCCTGCACGGTTTAGGTGAGCCGAGGGAGCTGAAGAGTTTGTGTCCTTGATCCAGCTCCCCACACTCTACTCCGTTTAGGGTTTAGGGTTTAGGTTTACGGTTTGAGGTTAGGGTTTAGGGTTTCGGGTTTAGGGTTAAGGGTCCCTTTCAAGCCCTAAACCCTTAAAACCCGCAGCTCTCACAGGACCCTGATGGCGGCCCTTTCCCGGCCTATCCGCCACTCTGCTCCAAACTCCAACTTCCTTGATAGGGTTCTAGGGCTGTTATAGAGTTTAGCGCAGATAGTCTTATATGTATGGCTAGCTGATGTGTAATTAAGGATAACTGCAGTTATGACTGCCCGAAGACCTAACGAAGAGGGACTCTGATGGATTACAAGGTTGCCTACCCCCCCCTCGAGCAATGCCGAAACCCCACTCTAACCCTATCCCTAAACCGTTATCACGTGAGCCCCTCAGCAACCCCGCAAGGTGGACATTTCAACACCCATACCCCGGAACCGGAAACGGCAATACCTGACTACTTCCAAACCCTCAAAAGCCCTAACCCTCACAAGCCCTAAACCCTAAACCCTAAACCCTAAACCCTAAACCCTAAACCCCCTCAACCTGGAAGCCTCTGTCTCAACACAGGTCCGGCAAGACCTGGGATGAGCCCAGTGGCAAGACCGGTAGCGGCAAGAAGTTCTTCCACAACATCATTGACGGCTCGAAGGCCTCAACCCTAAACCCTAAACCCTAAACCCTAAACCCTAAACCCTAAACCCTAAACCCTAAACCCTAAACCCTAAACCCTAAACCCTAAACCCTAAACCCTAAACCCTAAACCCTAACCCTAGAATCGAAGGCCGAGCCCAAGCCTTCAGCCCTCAGCCGGAAAGCCCTAAAGCTCCTGGCTCCTAGTACGTAGGGAATGAGGGAATTAGGCACCTTATATCCTGCCATATGTGGTTTAGGGTTTAGGGTTAGGGTCACTTCTCTAAAATATGGTCCCTTCCCTGGTCCTTATTATAAGGCGGCCCCTCTTATTTAGGGTACCCCACAGGGACCGTATTTCTAGAGAACTAACCGTAGACGCTTGAAGGGACTATGTAACCTCCTCCTAGGAACCAGTAGGTAAGGCTAAGCCCGAAACCCTAAACCCGAAAACCTGAACCCTAAATTTGGGTTTCGGGTTGTTGTTTTTTGTGGGTCGGTGGGTTGGGGCTGGAATGACTTCTCGAAGAGGGTTTAGGGTGAGGCCTCAGGGTGTAGGGAACAGGACCGAGCAGGATTGAGGACTGAGAGTTGAACGGGTGGCTTCTTAAGGATTCTAGGTTTTGTTGTGTTTTTTTTTTCTTTTTTTTTTTTGGGGGGGGGGGGGGGGGTTGAGGGTTTAGGCTCACAGTGCAGACTCTGCGGCGTTTGGGGGGGGCAAGCGCTGAGGTTTGAAGCTTCAGCGTCTTGGGTTGAATTCGGCAACCAGATGCCTTGTATCCCCTTATAGATACCTTGAGAAGAGGGATCATTAGCGGGTGCCTAGAATCCCTAATTCTCTTCTAGGAAGCATACGTAGGGTTTTTTTTGGGGGGACAGGCGAGTTTAGACCGGCTAATATAGGGCCCTTAAGAATTAAGAATTGGAACAGGAACCACGAAAGGGGTACGATTAGTATTTATTCCGACCCTTATATCCCCAAAAACCATTTTGCTTAGGGTTTCGGGCTTATTTAGGGTTTAGGGGTTTAGGGGTTTAGGATTTAGGGTTTAGGGTGTAGAGGGTTTAACCCTAAACCCTACACCGCTGTCTCCAAACCCGAAGTCACAAGCACCATGACATTGGTTTGAGGGAGATCTCTCCTGTGAGCTTAAACCCTAAACCCTAAACCCTAAACCCTAGGCCTTGAAATGACGCCTTCATCCTTTAGAGGGTGATGATGAATTACCTTGCAGCTTCGGCATTCGAAGCTTCGGTATGTATGCCTTTTTTCCCTATGGATATAGGGTTTAGGGTTTAGGGTTTAGGGTTTAGGGTTTAGGGTTTAGGGTTTAGGGTTTCCCCAAAAAGCCTTTGGGCCCCCAGGGTAGCAGTGACGGTCGGCATACGTCCTTTTCCCCACCCTGCGTAGGCCCTAAGCCCTAAACCCAAGGCCCCACGTCGGACTTTTTTCTTCCGAAGCCCGTTTCAATCTCTCTACAGATCCCGGACCGCCCCAAACCCGAAACTTTGTCATAGTTGGATAGCACTTTACATGGTTAAGGGTACTTAAACCCAATAAGGAATGAACAATTCAAATCCTATTAGGGTTTAGGGTTCAGGTTTTAGGGTTTAGGGTTTAGGGTACAATGAACCAGGAAGCCCTAAACCTTCAATTCCCGTATACAACCGTCCAGGTTGCCACGGAGCCATTCTACGTGGCCATCATCACCCCTGTGATCCACTACTGCCGCTTTCTCGCGCTTGATCTGGGACCCGAAGCACGTGGATTGAAATCTTGAGGGGAACCCTAAACCCTAGCCCAACCCCTAAACCCTAAACCCTAAACCCTAATCCCTAAACCCCTAAACCCTAAACCCTAAACCCTAAACCCTAAACCCTAAACCCCTAACCCCTAAACCCTAAACCCTAAACCCTAAAACCTAAACCCTAAACCCTAAACCCTAAACCCTAAACCCTAAACCCTAAACCCTAAACCCTAAACCCTAAACCCTAAACCCTAAACCCTAAACCCTAAACCCTAAACCCTAGCCCAACCCCTAAACCCTAAAACCCTTCAAGCTCCTTAAGACTAGATCAGCCCTCAGCTCTAGAAGCACTCGAACACCCCAAGGAACTAAAGAGCTTGAAGGTCTACATCCCTACACTTGTCGAACCCTCCATGCTCTGGAATCCCAAGCTCAAGATCCTTAACTTCTAGAACCCCGGAACCCAAAACCCTAAACCCTAAACCCTAAACCCCAAACACCAAACACCCTAAACCCCAAACATCTTAACTTAACCCTAAACCCTAAGCCCTTCAACCCTCAACCACTAAGCGCATAAAGCCCTAACATCTAAAACCCTAAACCCTATAAATCTCAAACCCCTTATCTTAACCCTAAACCCTAGACCCTAGACCCTAGACCCTAAACCCTAAACCCTAAACCCTAAACTCTAAGGCCTAAACCCTAAACCCTAAATACCCTAACCCCTGAGATAGCAAGAGAGGCATGGGCGGCCTGGAGTGCACTGTGGATGCCGAGTGCATCGACAAGAAGGGCAAGGCACGGCCGAGCTCCTTTTTGTTAGGTTTAGGGTTTAGGGTTTAGGGGTTGGGCTAGGGTTTAGGGTTTAGGGTTTAGGGTTTAGGGTTTAGGGTTTAGGGTTTAGGGTTTAGGGTTTAGGGTTTAGGGTTTAGGGGGGTTTAGGGGGGTTTAGGGGGGTTTAGGGGGGTTTTCGGGGAGGATGGGGGGGGGGGGGAGGGTTTAGTGTTTAGGTTTCAGGGTTCAGGGTAGGGTCTAACCCTCCAAGCAGTTGAGGTTTAGGGTGTAGGGCTGAGGGTCTTGCGTCGGTCAGCACTAGCCGTAAGCCCCCCAAACTTCGCAAGGGTTAAGGGTTAAGGGTTTAGGGTTTAGGGTTTAGGGTTTAGGACCCACAGCTTAGACGGCAAACTTCCGGCCTCCATCCATCTGCCCCGGAACCTGAGGGTTTAGGGTTTCGGGTTTAGGGTTTAGGGTTTAGGGCCCTATTATAAACCCTTAAAGCGCCCGAAGAGACTGAAGCCGTAGCTTGCTAGCCTAGCTCCTGGTAAGGAAATCAGGTTTTAGGTAACCTCACATCTCACTAGATCTCGAAAAAGCGGGTTGTATATCCCACTAAACCCTAAACCCTAAACTCCAAACCCCCAACCCCAAGCCCCAAACCCTAAACCCTAAACCCTAAACCCTGCCGACGCAGGTCATTCCAGGCTTGTATGTGGCCGGAGAGGCGGCTGGAGGCATCCACGGCAACAACCGCCTGGGTGGCAACTCCTTGCTGGACCTCTTTGAAGGTTTAGGGTTTAGGGTTAATTAGGGTTAGTTAGGGTTAATTAGGGTTTAGGGTTTAGGGTTTGGGGCCGTTTAGGGTTTGGGGTTTAGGGTTTAGGGTTTAGCTGAAGCCCCCCTGAACCCTTAACCAGAAGCCCCTGAATCCTAAACCCTATGCATGGGTTCGCATCAGGTTCGTGTGAATTGAGTACTTTATGGATTGGTTTAGGGTGTAGGGCTGAGGGGTTTCAAGGTTGCGTGTTGAGAGCCTCTGCTGAGGGGGTGCCAGCAACTTTTCTTACAAGCCTTTCGGAAAGCTCCATTCCTGACCCACTTAAGACATTCCGAAACCAGCCCAAACTCAGGTTTTGGGGTTTAGTTCGGGTTTAGGGTTTAGGGTTCAGGGCTTAGCAAATCTTCATGGAAGATTAGATCGGCAGTTCTCTATACGACAAGAGTTGAAGAGGTCCTGCTCCGAAAACAGAAACGACGGGGAGGGGGGGTATATGGGGGTAGGTACCTAGGGAACCTTCGGGAAGCTTAGGGAGCCTTAGGGAGTAGTAGGGAGTCTTAGGGAACCCTAAACCCGCGAAACCCCTTAAACCCTTAAGAACCCCAAAAGAGTCCGTCTCCTGAAGGCCTTATGATGATAGGGCTGTCTTGCTGCGGAACCCTACCCTCTGAGGGTAGTTTCATTGGCCCGTAATATGGTCCCTAGCCTCCTTGAAAGGGTTCTGATGTATGGACCCTTCGTTTGTATAGGGTATATGAGGGGTATATAAAGGGTCCCCGTTTAAGGGCCCATACTAAGGCACCATGTAACTACCCTTTTAGATACTCTGCCCCTATTACTGTATGGGGGGCCTAACCCAAAGAAATGGAGATCCAGAGAACAGGCTTGTGAATTACTCATGTTTGGTGGGGAATGGGGACATGTATTCCTACAGGCCCTCCCACGCATCCCCAAACCCTAAACCCTAAAAGACCGTTTGGGAGTTGCGAAGCCAAAACCCGGAAAAAACTTAACCCAAGACTCTAAACCCTAGACCCTAAACCCTAAACTCTTGCAAGCCCTCTGTGCATTCTTAACACCTCGAGGACTGCGTGGTCTTCGGCCGAGTGGCCGGCAAGGTGGGGAAACCTTCTTGCGGAAGCTGGGGTAGGGAGACCACGGTTTAGGGTTCAGGATTTAGGGTTTAGGGTTTAGGGTTTCGGGCTTAGGGCTTAGGGCTTAGGGCTTAGGGTTTCGGGTGCAGATGGCTGGCTTCTCATGGGTTCCCCTACTACCCCCTCTAGACCACCCTCCGTAGGTTCACCCCTTAACTAGCCTATAATTAGGCTTAATTAAGACCTATGCCCTATAAACTTTGAACCCGAAACTCTCGAGCCTACAGGCCCCAAATCCTACACCCTAAGCCCTGAACCCTGAACCCTATAAACCCGAAGGATTTAAAAACAAAACTGGCCCAACATCCTGATCCCGTGCCTGTCCCTATTAAAACCTCTACAGACGGAACCTTGGGTGGGTTAGGGGGGGGGGGGGGGGGTCGGACGGGCTGAGTCAGGCTTAGGCTGGGCTGCTGAGCCAGCATGCTACAATAAGGACGGGCTGGATTTTCGGACAAACGATAAGATCCCCCTAATACTGAAAACCTTTTGGGCTTTTTTATACAAGGGGGGGGACCCTTTCATATTAGGGGGAAGCGATTAGACCCTAAACCCTAAACCCCAAACCCCAAACCCCAAACCCTAAACC